CTTTTTCGGCGGGCGCTGGGCAGATGCACGAGCGGCGACGCTCTCGCGGTGGCGGTTGCAAGATTTTTTTTTTTTTTTTTTTTTTTTTTTTTTTTTTTTTTTTTTTTTTTTTTTTTTTTTTTTTTTTTTTTTTTTTTTTTTTTTTTTTTTTTTTTCTTTTCCCCCCCCTATTGTTTTCTCTCTCTTCTTATTATTATTATATGGTTTGTTTCTTCTCTCGGCGTGGGCGCTTGCTTTTTCAGGTGGGCGACGGGCGCGTGCGCGAGCGGCGGCGCTCTCGCGGCGGTTGCGCGCAAATGGTGATTGTGCCTCGCTCGGCGTGGGCGCCCGCTTTTTAGGTGGGCGCTGAGCTCATGCGCGAGCGGCGACGCTCCCGCGGCGGTTGCAAAACATTGCGAATGCGCCTCGTTCGGCGAGGACGCCCGCATTTTCTGTGGACGGTGAGCAACTGCACGAGCGGCAGTGCAAACGATGGTGGATGCGCCTCGTTCGGCGTGGGCGCCCGCTTTTTAGGTGGGCGCTGGGCACTTGCACGAGCGGCGACGCTCTCGCGGCGGCGGCTGCAACACAAATAATAGCGAATGCGCCTTGTCCGGCGTGGGCGCCCGCATGGTAGGTGAACGCTGAGCAATTGCACGGGCGGCGGCGCTCTCGCTGTGGCGATGGCAAAGAATTGCGGCTGTTCCGCGTTCGCCGTGGGCGCTTTTTTTTCCAACAAAAAATAAAAAAAAAGTGGGCGCTGGGCAAATGCACGAGCGGCGACGCTCCCGCGGCGGTTGCAACAAGCGGTGAATGCGCCTTGTTTGGCGTGGACGCCCTTTGTCTAGGTGGGCGCTGAGCAAATGCACGAGCGGCGACGCCCCCGCGGTGGCGGCTGCAAAAATAATAAATGCGCCTCGTTCGGCGTGGGCGCCCCTTTTTTTGGTGGGTGCTGAACAAATGCTCGAGCGGCGGCGCCCTCGCGGCGGTTGCAGCAACTGGCGAGCGCGCCCCGTTCGGCGCGGGCGCCCGCTTCCTCGGTGGGCGCTGAGCAATTGCGAGAGCGGGGTTGCGAACATTATGAATGCGCCTCGCGCGGCGTGGGCGCCCGTTGTTTTCTTCATATATATATATATATACACATAAATGTATGTATGTATGTATATATATATATATATATGTATATATATATATATATACATTCTCATGCGCACCTCTCCGAGGGAGTAGAGCTCAGAGGCGATTAGTGCGCACGCGTCCGCGATTTTTCTGGGCGTTTCGCTCGGGACATCCTCGAAATTATGAAAACCGGTGGCACCCATCACGCAGATCGTGACGTCAGGGTCCAAAAACACATGGCAATTTCAATATTTTAACATAAAACCTTCAAAAACACTTGGTAATTTCAATAATTGTGACCCCGATTCTCAGGGAATGGCGGTTTCGCTTGAAAAATCCTTCCAAAATCGAGCCCCAGACCACGCCTCGGAGCCGCCTCCTGGAACCTCCTGGGGCCTCCTGGGGCTTTCTGAACCTTCTGGCACCGCAGACCCCGCCTCGGAGCCTCCTGGGGGGTTCCTGGAACCTCCTGGGGCCTCCTGGGGCCTCCTGCGGCCTCCTGGGGCCTCTTGGGGCCTCCTGAAGCCTCCTGGGGTCTCCTAGGGCCTCCTGGGGCCGCCTGGGGCTTCCTGGGGCCTCCTGGGGTTTCAGAACTACATGCGCACAGAGACGCAAATCACGCCCAACACATCACACGCTAGACAAACATAACACACGCACACACAACACCTACAACACACAAAAAGCACGCACCACACAAAGCATACATCACACACACACCACACACACACACACGCACACGCACACGCACACACACACACACACACACACACGCACACACACACACACACACACACACACACACACACACACACACACACGCACAACACTCACAATCCTGGGGCCTCCTGGAGCCTCTTCTGGTATCCAAGTCGGGCCTCCTGAGGCTTCCTGGGGGGTCCGGGTACGCGCGTCGCAAGGTGTGGCAACCCCACTTGCGCTCGAGTGCGACTTCGATGTTGAATTCCACTCCTGCTTTAAACGCCCCTTCAGTTTTTTTGTATGAGCCTGGGCACACACGTGCCACTTGTGCACATATATATATATATATAATATTGCGATTGTTTGCGCTGTTGTTGCCCCCCCCCCGTCTTTTTTGTTATGCGTTTTTTTGTGTGATTTTTTCTATGCGGTGTTTCTTCTGCTCCTGCGGCGCGCGTCGGGCACGCGCGCGAGCGGCGCTCTCGCGGCGGCTGCAAAACAAACGTGGATGCGCATGGTTCGGCGTGGGCGCCCGCTTTTTAGGCGGGCGCTGAGCAAATGCGCGAGCGGTGACGCTCTCGCGGTAGCGGTTGCCAAAACTGGTGAACGCGCTTCGTTCGGCGTGGGCGCTTGTTTTTAGGTGGGTGCTGAGCAAAAGCGCGAGAGGCGACGCTCTCGCGGTGGTTGCGCGCAAATGGTGACTGTGCCTCGTTCGGCATGGACGCCCGCTTTTTTGGCGAACGCTGCGCGACTGCGCGAGCGGCGACGCTCTCGCGGCGGTTGCAACAAATGGAGAATGCGCATTATTCGGCGTGGACGCCCGCAAGGTAAACGCTGCGCAATTGCACGAGCGGCGGCGCTCTCGCGGCGGCGGCTGCAAGAAATGGTACGTTCGTTTTGTTCGGCCGGGGCGCCCGTTTTTTAGGTGGGCGCTGAGCGCGTGCACGAGCGGCGGCGCTCTCGCCGCGGTTGCAGAAAAATAGTGAATGCGCCTTGTTCGGCGCGGGCGCCCGTTTCTTTTTTTGGTGGGCGCTGGGCAAATGCACGAGCGGCGACGCTCTTGTGTTGGCGGATGCAAGGGATGGTGGATGCGCCTGGTTCGGCGCGGGCGCCCGCTTTTTAGGTGGGCGCCGAGGAAATGCGCGAGCGGCGATGCTCTCGCGGTGGTTGTAAAAAACTGCGTCTGCGCCTCGTTCGGCGCGCGCTTTTTTGTGATATATATATATATATATATATATATATATATATATATATATATATATAATATATGTATATATATATATATATATATGTATATATTCAGGTGGGCGCTGAGCACGTGCACGAGCGGCGACGCTCTCGCCGCGGTTGCAGAAAGAAAGTGGATGCGCCTTGTTCGGCGTGGGCGCCCGCTTTTTATGTGGACTTTCAGCGAATGCGCGAGCGGCGACGCTCCCGCGGTGGCGGTTGCAACACATGGTGAATGCGCTTTGTTCGGCGTGGGCGCCCGTTTTTTCGGTGGGCGCTGAGCCAATGCGCGAGCGGCGACGCTCTCGCGGCGGCGGCAAAAAATTGTAAATGCGCCATGTTTGGCGCGGGCGCCTTTTTTGGTAGGCGCTGAGCAAAAGCGCGAGCGGCGACGCTCTCGCGGGGGCGGTTGCAAAAATTGTGAATGCGCCATGTTCGGCGTGGCCGCCCGTTTTTGTAGTGGGCGCTGAGCAAATTCACGGGCGGCGAAGCTCTCGCGGCGGTTGCAGAAAAAGGTGAATGCGCCGCGTTCGGCGTGGACGCCCGCTTTTTAGGTGGACGCTGAGCAAATGCGCGAGTGGTGACGCCCATCGCAGTGGTGGTTGCAGAAAATGGCGAATGCGCCATGATCGGCGTGGGCGCCCGCTTTTTAGGTGGACGCTGAGCAAACCCCCTGGATTAAGAAGTCCGGACCGCAGAGGTCGGGGAAAAAGCTTTGAGGTTCGGTTCCCGTTAGGCCACGGGGCCCTGGCGCAATGATGTAGAGGCCGCAGCGGCAAAATTCCCGGTGCATCCTCACCCCCTTTTAATATTATAATCGCCAAATGGGGTGACGACCGGAAGTTCGCATTCCGCCCATTATTTCCACCGCCGCTCACGACAAAATCCGGCCCCAGCTACGTTGCCAAAGTTGCGTTTCTGCTAGTGACTTCCTACAAGTCATGTTTACCACTCGGCGTGGGCGATTCTAAACAGAGCTTGTTGCTTCCAGTGCGCAGCACCTTGCAGCGCCTTTCCGTTAATCGGCGCGCGGGCTTGTCGCGGGGTCATCTCGGAGGCCATGGTCCAGAATTGAAGGTCCAGGAACAATCGAGGGTCGAAACTCCCGGCCCCGTCTGATAACGACGATGCAAAGGGGCCTGCAGTGCCGATCCGGAGTTTTTAATCCAGGGGGGGTAGCCAGTGGCGTCGTGTAGATGTGCGTATTCAGGTTGGTCGTATGTGGATGGTGGTGTGATGTGTCTGCGCTGCTTCTCTAGTACGCATGTGGCCCAGGCTGGGTGGAGTGTCGATGCACCTGAGGTGCGCAGGGCGTCTGCAAGGTCATTGGTTCGTGTCTGTAGCTCCGAGCCTGATGCAATGTTGTTTTGTGGGTCGGTCATTGAGCTGAGGAACGCGGTCCTGTTGTCCATGGTGAACTTGGCGCGCCTGCCGTACTTTTCGTCGATCTGGAGCTCGTATTGTTTTTCGTGCTGCTTGTAGACGATATTGTGCAGGTTTTATGTTAGGCTCCTTTCGGTGCCGTCCAGATTGAAGTGTAGGTATATTAGCCTAGCCTTACCAGGTTGTTGTCGATGTCGTTGTTGCGGTCCTGCCAAGTCATGTGAACGAGTGGTTGTCGTCGTTTTTCGTGGTCGGTAGGATTGTTTTCCGCAAAGTTTTGACGATCTTTGCAGTAGTCGGCACGTTTGTAGTATGGGATAGTGCCTAGTCTCTCCGAACAGTGTGTTTTGGTGCTGGTGTGGGAAGAGTAGTTGATCCACTTCAGCAGGGTTTGTTGAAGTCGTTGGGTCACGGCTTTTTCGTGCGATGCCTTGCCTTTGCTTTCGGGCCCCGAATCAGTTTCCACAGGCTGAAGTTGTCGAACAAATGCGGGTGTCTGAGTCATTCCCCCCTCCCCCTCCTGGAGAGTTTATTTGGCCATCTGCGCGGTTCAGCGATCGTGGCAGTGCTCCGAGGGCCGGGCCGGGCAGGGGCGCCTTGCGACGAGCAGGAACAGATTGTCCACGAGGCCGAGTGGATTGGCAGGTGCTCTGGGAACCCAAGCCGACCTTCTCTCGGGATGGATCTGTGATGGTGATGCTGCTGGGGAAGAGGAGGATGCTACTGATGACGGTGGTGATTATGATGAGGCTGAGGATGATGGCGCTGACAATTATGATGATGGTGATGATGATTAGAATGACGATGGTGGTGGTGGTGGCGACGATGCTGGTACTGATCTGATGCTGATGCTGATGATGATATTTGTGGTGGTGGTGATGACGACGGTTGTTATGATGATGGTGATGATGATTATGTTGATGATGATGGTGCTGGTGGTGATGATGATGTTGATGATGATGCTTGCGTTGATGATGTTGATGATGAGTGTGGTGGTGGTGATGCTGATGATGATGGTGATGATGATGACGATGATGATGCTGGTGGTCATGTTGATGCTGACGATGATGATCATGCCGATGATGATGCTGGTGATGCCGATGATGACGGTGGTGATGGTGGTGATGATGTTGATGATGATGCTGATGATGATCGTGGTAATGATGCTCATGCTAATGATCCTGCTGCTGGTGATGATGGTTGTGATGATGCCGGTGGTGATGATGATGATGGTGGTGGTTATCATGCTAATGATGATGACGGTGACGATGCTGACGATGATGATGATGATGCTGGTGGTGGCGAAGGCTTGGATGCCGATGATGATGATGGTGATGATGATAATGGTGGTGGTGATGATGATGCTGATGTTGGTGATGACCACTATTGTGATGATGGTGATGATGATGATGCTGGTGCTGATGTTGATGATGATGATAATGGTGGTGATGATGATGACGGTGATGAAATTGGTGGTGGTGGTAGTGATGCCAATGATGTTAATGATGATGATGGTGGTGAGAATGCTGATGATGGCGATGACGGTGATGCTGGTAATGCTGCTTCTGATGATGACGATTGTGATGATGGTGGTGATCCTGATGATGGTGATGATGATGGTGGTGGTGATAATGCTAAGGCTGATGATGATTGTGATGATGATGGTGGTGGTGATGATGACGGTGGTATTAGTTTTGGCGATGTTGATGCTGATGATCATGACGTTGATGGTGGTGGCCATGATGAGAATGATGATGGTGGTGGTATTGGTGGGGGTGACATGATGATGCTGGTGATGACGATGATGATGGTGATGCTGATGATGGTGGTTACGAAGAGGATGGTGATGGTGACGACGATGATGTTGATGATGATGACGATGATGATGCTGATGGTGATGATGGTGATGATGCTGGTAATGGTGATGCTGATGCGGGTTATCATGATGTGAGTGATGATGCTTATTTATAATGTTGATGAGGATGCTGGTGAAGATGATGCTGGACATGATAATGGTGGTTGTGGTAGTGACGATGCTGATGATGATGATGCTGATGATGACGATGATGTCAACGGTGATGGTGTTGATGATACTGATGGCGATGGTGATGATGCCGGTGATGATGGTGATGAAGATGATGTTTATGATGCTGTTGGTGGTGATGATGCTGGTGATGATGGTTGGTGATGACGATGGTGGTGATGGTGATGACGATGATTGTGGTCATGATGATTACTCTGAGGGTGATAATGGTGTTGGGAACGATTATCATGATGCAGTGGTACTGGTGATGATCATGATGCTGATGATGGTTGATGATTGGTGATTGTTGATGTTTGATGATGATGATGGTGATGATGATGCGTATGGTGATTATGCCGACGATGATGGTGTTGGTGATGATGATTGTGCTGATGATATAGTGCTGATACTGCTGCCGCTGGTGATGATGATGAGGCTGGCGGTGGTGGTGATGATGATGCTGCTGGTGATGATGATGATGGTGCTGATGGTGGTGGTATTGATGATGCTGATGATGATGCTGATGATAATGGTGATGGTGGTGATGATGGCATGGCTGGTGCTGATGATGATGCTAGTGCCTACGATGCACTTGATGGTGATCGTGATGATTATGGTGATGCTTATGATTATTGTGATGCTGGTGATGGTGGTGGTGATGATGGAAAGCGCGCCAGTGTATGTCCCTGAATACACAAAACGGGGGGGGGTGCTCGCAGACCCCCCCCCCCCCCTCCCCCCCTTCAAAGGGGGGGTGAGAGTTTCGATCCCCCCCCCATCCCTCCCGTAAAGGGGGGGGAGGTGCGTGGCCCCCCCACCCCCCTTCCCTTTGAAGGGGGGCGGGTGGTTCCGGACCCCCCCCCCTCCCCCCTTGGCGCTGCAAAAGGGAGGGGGGTTCGAACCCCCCCCCTCCCCCCCTTTGCGCCGAACAGGGGGCTGGGGAGGGGGCCGCTCGGGTAGTGAGCGGAGAGTAGAGTGTTTTGAATAGCGATTGGTGAGTAGTTGGTACCTGATAGTAAGTAATGCGCTGTGAATCGGAAGTGGTGAGTAGTGAGTAGTGGGTAATGGGTAGTGGTAGTAGTGAATAGTGCGTAGAGATTAGTGAGTAGTGAGTATTGGGAAGGAAGTAGTAAATAAGGAATTGTGAGTAGTGAGGAGTGAGTAGTGTGTAGTGAGTAGTGCATAGTGAGTAGTAAGCAGGGAGTAGGGATGAGGGAGTAGACAATAGCGAATAGCGAGGAGTGAGTAGTGAGTTGTAGGTAGTGAGCAGTGCGCAGTGAGTAGAGAGTAGTGAGTAGTGAGTGCTGAGTAGCGAGTAGCGAGTAGCGAGTAGGAAGTAGCGAGTAAGGAGTAGCGAAAAGTGAATAGTCAGTAGCGAGTAGGGCGTTGTGAGTAGTGAGTAGTGAGGAGGGAGTAGTCAGGAGTCACTAGTGAGTAGTGAGTAGGGAGTAGTGCGTAGCGAGATCGGAGTAGCGAGTACTGCGTTATGAGTAGTGAGTTGTGAGTAGTGAGTAGTGAGTAGCGAGTAGTGAGAAGCGAGAAGTGGGTATTGAGTAGTGGGTAGTGAGTAGGGAGTAGCGAGTAGAAGTTAGTGAGTAGTGAGTCGTGAGTAGTGAGTAGTGAGTAGCGACTTGCGATTAGTGCCTGGTGAGTAGGGAGGAGGGAGTAGTGAGTAAGGAGTAGCGAGTAGTGCGTAGTGGGTAGTAGGTATTTCGTATTGGGTAGCGAGTAGCGGATCTTGAGTAGTGAGTTGTGGGCAGTGCATAGTGAGTAGTGAATTGCGAGTACTCAGTAGTAAGTAGTGGATAGTGGTTAGTGGGTAGTGGGTAGTGGGCAGTAGAGGTGTTTAGTGAGTAGTGAGTATTGAGTACTGGGTAGTGAGTGGTGACTACAGAGTTGGGAGTAGTGAGAAGGGAGTAGGAAGTAGTGAGTAGTGAGCAGTGGGAGCGTATTGAGTAGTGAGAAGTGGGTAGTGAATAGTGCGTATTGGGTAGCGAGTAGGGAGTAGGAAGTAGCGAGTAGTGAGTAGTGACTAGTGAGTATTGTGTAGGAAGTAGCGAGTAGCGAGTAATGGATGTGAGTAGTGAGTTGTGGGCAGTGAGTAGTGAGTAGTGAAGTAGCGAGTATTGGATAGTGGTTAGTGGGTAATGAGTAGTGATTTGTGATTAGTGGGTAGTGGGTAGTGAGTTGTGCTTAGTGAATAGCGAGTATTGAGTAGTGGGTAGTGCGTAGTGAGTAGCGAGTAGTGAGTGGTGAGTAGTGAGTAGGGAGTAGGGAGTAGGGAGCAGTGGTTAGTGGGTAGTGAGTCGTGGGTGGTGAGTAGTGAGTCGTGAGTAGTGAGTAGTAAGAAGTGAGTAGCGAGTAGTGAGTAATGAAATGTGGGTAGTGAGTAGTGCGTAATGAGTAGTGAGTACTACTCGGGGCTAGGGTTTGGGGTTAGGGTTCGGGGTCAAGGTCAGGGCGAGGATCAGTGTTAGGGGTGGTAGGGTCGGGTTCCGGAGACCGGGGGCGCCGTGGCGAAAGGGGGGGGTCGAATTTGGCGGCCAAAGCGGGGGAGGGGGGGGGGTCAGAACCCCCTCCCTCCCTTTTTGAATGGGGGGGAGGAGGGGGGGCTCCCCGACGACGGACCGGGAAAGGGGGGAAAGGGGGGGGCGGGATTCCCCGACGACGGATCGGGAAAGGAGGGGAGGTGGGGGTGTCCCCGACGACGGATCGGGGAAAGAGGGGGAGGGGGGTCCCAACCCCCCAACCCCTGTTTGGGACATCCAGCGGCGCCCCTCGTGATGATGATGTTGATAATGGTGGTGTTGGTGGTGGTGGTGATAGTGGTGATGATGATGTTGGTGGTCATAGTGCTGATGATTGAAGATTATGGTTGTGGTGGTGCTGATGATGATGAGCATGATGACAATGATGACGATGGTGGTGGTGGTGGTGGTAATGATGATTGTGCTGATGACATGGTGTTGATGCTGTTGCTGCTCATGGTGATGACGATGGTGATGGTGGTTCTGGTGGTGGTGATTCTGAGCATGCCAGCGATGATGATAATGGTGCTAGTGCTTCTGGTAACGATGATGGTGATGCTGGTGGTGATGGTGATTTTGGTGATGATGCTGGTCATGGTGATGCTGGTGACGATCGTGATGATGATGGTGATGATGATGGTGATCATGATAGCGATGCTGATTCTGCTGGTGATGCTGATGATGGTACTGATGATGATGGTTATTGTGCTGATCATTATTGTGGTGATGGTGACGGCGGTGTTGGTGGTGATGCTGACGATGAGTGTGATTATGTATGATGGTGATGGCGATGATGGTGGTGTGGAAGTGACAGTGGTGATTGTGATGATGATGGCCGATGATGGGGATGGCGGTGATGATGGCGATGAGTATGGTGATTGCGATAACGATGGTTGTGTTGGTGATGCTGATTTTGCTGGTGGTGTGATGATGGTACTGTGCAGCTGGCGATGCTGCTAATGCCGATGAGCATTATTATGGTGATGATGATGATGATGTGGGTGGTGGTGGCGGTGATGATGATGGCGATGCTGGCAACGGTGGTAGTCATGGTGATGATGACGGTGATGCTGGTGCTTGCGATGATCATGGTT